GCTAGCCCTCAATCCCATACTCCCCCTCTCCACAAGCACATCCGTCAATCAACCAATGACATCCACAAGTGCCTGTCTCAGGCCACTTCTGTTCCTCCTATTTCTCGGTCTTCCATGACCAGATGTGGTTACCCGTTTTTCCCTGTCGTCCGATCTGGATCAGGTTCAAAGTCATTATCATCAATGTCAACCGCGCCCTAATTGGAAGAAGTGAAGGTCTCCACTGATTGAGATGTAGATGTGTATGCATATCTTTGAGTGGCAGTTTGCTTCTCAAATATGATTTCATAAAGCTCATTGTGAGGAAGTCCCTTGTGGTAGAATTGTTGTGCCTATGGGTTCTACTGGTAATGCAAAATAATAATATATTAATATTTGGCAGTCCCAAAAAAAAATTGTGTACAAATACGGTGTCATTGATTAATATTCGTTACAAAAGTTGAAAATTTACCTTGACATATTCTTGCCAAACCTGTACGGGACACGTTAGACTTTGCGACTCATGATCCCACCTAAAGCTCGTGTGTTGCAGCAATTTCCATCATGCTTGATATACTTTTCGCAGGCGAAAGTACTTAAGAGGTTAGTTGTGTCATGTTGAGTCTCCTCCCAACCAATGATGATAAGTCATCCAACATTTCCTAGTAATCGATTGTTTTTATTGAAGTACCGTGCGAAGTTTTCGCCCATTCAGACAACAAGATCAGAAATTTGTGAGTCATCTTAGCAGACCAGTTCACAGTATCACTCATCTAAGGACAGTACGGTGAGAACGACAACCAAGATTGGGACACCATACCAATCACCAAACATATTAGAAACACACATACGCACGTTTAAACGTAATAAAGTAAACACAGATAAACCGTTACCTCGTTCGATCCGACACTGCTTGAAGCCGTCAATGCAGGGGAAGATACATGCAATGTTGACCAACAGGGTGTATGATGAACTCCAAGTCTGGAAAAGCCTCTGCTGCAAGTAGTAATCAATCCTGCGATGTCGAGACAAATTATACTGACATTTGTGCATATGATTGTAATTTGTTCTTACGATCAAATAACAATGCCGAATCTGCAAAACAAATATATTAGTTAGTGAAATCCCCAAAAAAATATTTCCAATAATCCAACAATTTTTTACTCCCAAAATGCATCCATTAACGAGATGTTCTTTTTAAAATTTGTCCGTTTCACAATTTACATATTTCTCTATAAAGATTGAAATGTTAAATATAATACCAACTGTCAGATAAATAACTTTTTTTTTCTTTTTTTTACTTGATATATTGACATGTATATTATATATTTATATATATTATATATTATATATTATATATTTACATGTATATTGATGCAAATAGGAAGTAGAAAATTGCATTACATTTGTAGATGGTGATGGGTGGTTCGTAGACGATCATAGGAGTCGGGTTCGCGTTGCGATGATGACGGTGGTTCTTCGTTGCAGATCGACGACGACGGACAATGCTTTGTGGCAGATCGACGATGATGGGGCTTGATCGTGGCAGATTGGAGACGACGGTGGGTCTTCGTGGATGGTTTGTGACGATAGGCTTCGGATTGTGGTAGATCGGTGACGACAGTATTCACTGAAGTCAGATCAGCGACGATGGGGGCTTCTTCGTGGCAGATTGGCGACGACGGAGGGTCTTCGTGGATGGTTTGTGATGATGGGCTTCAGATCGTGGCAGATCGGTGACGACGGTGGGTCTTCGTGGATGGTTTGTGACGATGAGCTTCAGATTGTGGCAGATCGACGACGGTGGGTCTTCGTGAATGGTTTGTGATGATGGTTTTGTTTTGTGATGATGGTGGTAGTGGATGATAGTTTGTGACGGTGGGTTTGTGTTGTGATGATGGCGGTAGTTGGTGATGGGTGGTGGCGGTGGGTCTTCGTGGATGGTTTGTGATGATGGTGGCAATGGATGATGGTTTGTGACGGTGGGTTTTTGTTGTGATGATGGCGGCAGATGGTGATGGGTGGGGTCTTTGTGGATGGTTTGTGATGATGGTTTTGTTTTGTGATGATGGTGGCAATGGATGATGGTTTGTGACGGTGGGTTTGTGTTGTGATGATGGCGGCAGATGGTGATGGGTGATGGCGGTGGGCTCGTAATGCGATGATGGTGGAAGATGGTGATGTGTGGTGGCCGTGCGTTTCTGTTGTGATGATGGTGGAAGATCGATTGGGTGGTGCTATGGGGTTGTTTTCTGATTCAGGTGGAAGGTCATTTGGACAATGTGCGGTGGGTTTGTTTTGTATTTGCAGGTGGAAGATCGTTTGGAGAACAATTTGTTGGAAGCGTAGGAAGATGGTTTGTGATGGTGGTGAAGCAGTGAAGTAGTGAAAAGAGAAAATGGAATTAAAGCAGACAGCACTGCAAACTCTATCTTCAACGGTAAAAAAATTGTCAGAATCCAATTTTCAAGATTCTATTATCTGAATAATAAAGCAAACATTACTCTGAAAATTGGGTTTAGGGTAGGATAGGAAATAACAAACCAAACGGACCCTTAATGTAAGAAAATGTGGAAAAAATGAAGAAAAGAAGCAAGTGTATGTTGTAGACATTATTGAAGAACATGTTGATGATTCTCAAGCTCAATTTACTAAAGAATTTGTTCAAGCTGATACGAGTCTAATGCTAGTGGTTCAATGAGTTTGTCTTGCACCGTCGGTAACAAACTGGTTAAAGTATGTTAAGGGAAAAGTTTGTTGTGCGAATGTGATCTCCAAAGAAATTGTTGTTAAAATGTTATCTCTTACTACGTTTACATCTTCACTTCCAAGTTCTCTTTTCATCCAGGAGCTTTGTAGTGGTGGTTGAGAGCCATCAATGTCATGCCAAATTGATAAACATCTTGAGCGTGCTTTTGGAGTTTGAAGGCACGTTTTTCAATATCAAAAAATTTGGCACCATGCTCAATTGACAAACATCAATTGGAGATACTTTATTTTCAATATATGTTCAACTAAAACGTGGCAATGAATATCAAAATGAAGTACCAGCTTCAAGTCAATTTCTTGCGTTTAAGCAAATCAAAAGTTTCAAGGATATAACTAATTTGTTAGATCTAATGTGTATAATTTGACATATTTGAATTATGTAATAGGATAATATTTCTTTTGTTTTTTTCAATGGAAATATCAAAAAGCATTATTTTTATAATTATTAAAAAAGAATATTGTATATTTTTATAAAAACCTTAAAATAATACCAATGAACATAAAATTGATATTGTTATAATATACTGTTTTTACAATAAATAATTGATGTTATATAGAATTATTAATCTTTACAATTTTAATTTTAATTTTGTTTAAGTATTTATAGCATATCAATTTTACATGTAGAGAGCAATTTTGTTTGTAAGGGTAAATACTAAAATTATCAGTTAAAATAGTCCAATCCAAACCACGCAGATAAGTTTAGGCTTTTTCATAATATACGAAAATAAAAAATAAAAAAATAAAAGTTGGTCTTTAGATCCGAGGTAGCGATTAGCCGATCACTTTGTGGAATGCATGGGAATGAGAATGGGATTCCGCTGCAGTCCCCTCTCGTGGGGATGGGCTGTTATGGTGGTCTGTTGTGTTTCTGCTGCTGTGCAAAAGTGTCTGTGGTTGCGAGATTGTCGAGGTCCGTAGCCGTTTGTAGTTGAGTTGACTTCTTTTTTTTCCCTGGTTTTGGCTGTTTTGTGTGCCTTGCTCTCTCTGGTGACCATTTGTATAGGCTCCCTTGACCTCTTTTTTTTTTTTTTTTCCCTTCTGGTCTCATCTCAGGTATGTTTGCTCTGTAAAGGATTGTATATCCTTGCTCTTTTTGTCCCCTTTTTGTTCTCTCCAAGGGACGTTCCGGTTAGGGGTCCCCTCATTTGATTGTTTATTCATTATTCTTTATAAAATCATCAGTTTCCCAAAAAAACAAAAAAAAAAACATGTGAGGATCTAATGCATAGAAAAAAAATTGTGTAACTAAATCAGGGTCAAAATGGGAAAAAAATTGAACATGGACAACAAAATCATTTCAAACCTTTTTCTTGCATTGGTTGGAATACACATTCCTCCCAAATGGGATTTCCCCAAAAAAGTGTAACGTAAACAAGGCGATAGCCGGATAGGCATTCCTTTGCCCATTCCCTTGGGTAAACCGCAATGTAAAGAACAAAGGATAGCATAAGTAGTAAACCGCAATGTAAAGGATAGCATAGGTAGTGATCAGTGGGACTTATCCCTATTAAATGTCCTTAACTGTCTATTGGGTGTGAACAATTAATATAGTTTAGAGTTAGACTAATTTGTTAACTTTCCTTTACAAAAATATTATGTTTATACCTAATCTTATAACATTTTCTTACAATCCTAATATGATAATAAAGTTGACACTATCATTTCAATTGACGACTTTAATTTAATATGAACGACTATTTCTTAGAGACGAACAATCATTTTCTAGAGATAAATAACAATTCATTCATATGGAGAAATGATTGTTCTTTCATAAGAAACAATTATTTCTTATAAAGTAACGATCATTCTTTCATAAGGACAATCATTTTTTATGAAAGATTAACCATTAGTCCCTAAAAAATGAACCATTCGTGTCTAGTCAAGAATCATTTAGTGTCTTGGGTGTCGTGAGAGTTGACGTAAGAATTACCAACTCAACTATCATGTTAAGATTATGAGAAAAGGTTGTGAGAGTGGATTATGGGCTAATATTACTTTTTTGCTTTAACACCCAATATTTATTTATTTATTTTTGAGTTTTTAATATCCCGCATTTCTAAGGGCCACATAATATTCCAAAAAGATAAAACTTAAAAAAAAAAAAAAAAACTAACTCAACCGCGGTTTACCTCAAGGCGTATATATCTAACTATAGTCAAGTCAGAAATATACGATACAGATTCACCCTCAGCAACATATCCAACGGCTAGGAATAGCTTTCAGTAAAGAACCAGGGTTAGAGCAAATTTTTGGGGAAAATTGAAAAAAAAAAAAAAGAGAGAGAGAGAGAGAGAGAGAGAGAAACCTATCGATCCCGTCGCATATCGATGAATCAATAAATCAATCTAGGGTTAGGGTTTTGTAGCAGATGGAGATGGACTACGTTACTGAGTTTCCTCACACTCACATGGATCGTCCCCAGGAAGAACCTCGATTGCTTGGGAACTCCCTCAAGCTCTTGCAAAGGTATGATTTTTTTTTTTTTTTTTTTTTTATCTTCAATTTTGTTAGATTCTTTTTCTTTTTCCCGAAAAAATATTTTTTCTTCGAATACTTTCACTGAAACGTATAAAATTTGAATCTGTATTCATATCTGAATGATTTGGATGATTTAGTTTAGTTTTTTTTTTATTTTCTAGAGCAAAAGTTTTATGTGGAAAAAGAATCAATTTCCTTTTCTTGTATTTTATGATTTCATTTTGATCTTTATTTTCTGATCTGGTTTGTGATATATTTCCTGTTAGGATATTTGGGTTTTCTTTTTCTTCTTCTTCTTCTTCTTTTTTAATCTCTATATTCTGTTGTATCAGTTATTGTGTTGCATGGTTTCATAGGGGGTATGGTTTTGGAAGTGAATTAATTGTGGAGAAGGCAATTTGATTACTTTGTGTTTAGTGTAGTATGAATGAAATGGCTGTGTGTAGGCTCAGTCAGGGATATATTGTGGACAAGATGTTGGGAGTGTGACCAGCTATGGACCTTCAAGGGTACCCTTAGACCATGCTAGTCTGTTTGTAAAGGGATTAGCTCAAAATGGCTCTCCCCGAAGGCGAAATGAAGGAAAAGATGGGCATTACATATTTGCGCTCGGAGAAAATTTATCTTCTCGCTGTAATTACACTTGATCATTATTATTGAAGAATTATTTTATATTATTGATGTATTCTTGCTAATAATTCATTCTGTGCTTTACTTTCTGATGGAAGAAATTTTCTGTTAACATATTAGTCATTTTTCCTCCTCTCTTCTTGTCTTGATTCCTTGAATTCTTTATCATTTATGCTATCAAGAACATTTTTGAGGCTCTATGATGGGCCGTGCTACTAGTTTTCAGAAAATCATGGCTCTTTAGCTGCATGTCATCTTAATTTTTTGGAGTTGGAGAACCATGTTGAGTTGGGAAAACACTATTGTCAATAATATGTTCCAATGGCATTTTTATATGTCGTGCATCACATACATAATGTCCTTTCTCCCTGCCAATCACAAATAAGAAGGAAAAGATATTAGCTATATACGGTGATGAACTGCCAATTTAATAGACACCTCTTGTCTGCTTCAAGATCTAGGTGCAGTTTTAGATTTAAATTACTTGCCCTTTACTGATTTATTGATTCTTCATCTTCCCTTGATGAGTATGTAGAAAAGTCTTTCTTTCAAGTTTAAAAACTTATTTAATTTGGCACTTGATTCTTATTGTTTTGGATTTTTCATTCTTCATTTGTTTTGGTCTTTGAGTTTTCCTTATGCTCTCTTATTTGTTCATTTGCAGATAAGATACTCAGAAAACTTGGCGAAGGTTAGATTTCCTTAGATTCTACCTAAAGTTATGTTCTTCTCTTGATGGTCTCGTTCCTGATATTATGCATATATTTGCATACATTTTCTTTTTTGTACAGGAACCTTTGGTCAGGTTTTGGATTGCTTGGATAGGGAAACAGGAGAGACGGTGGCCATAAAAGTTGTGCGTAGTATTAAGAAATACCGTGATGCAGCAATGACAGAGATTGATGTGCTACAGTTACTCAAGAAGAATGACAAAAGTGGCCGTCGGTGAGTGTACTTTGCTTACCGTTTTCACTTTGTAATTTTTGTCATCGTTTAAGTGGGTTTATTATTTGCAGTTGTGTTCAAATACGGAGCTGGTTTGACTATCGTAACCATATATGTATAGTAAGTATTCAATTTGATTTTCTATGATACAACTTCCCTTAATTTTTATATATTGTGAGAATTAAGGCTTGGTGGATTTAAATGGTCTTAACAGGTCTTTGAGATGCTTGGACCAAGCCTATACGATTTTCTTCGAAAAAATAATTATCGCCCCTTTCCTGTTGATCTAGTCCACGAGATTGGCAGACAATTGTTGGAATGTGTAGCATGTATGTTGACTGCTATTACTTCTTCCCATGGTGACAAGTTTTTTGAAATTGTGTGAACTACGTCACTGCTCATTGAACTTAATTGCTGTTTTGTTGTTATCAATTAATCTTCTGTTGCATTTTTATTTATTTATTTTCCTCAGAGGCATTCATTTGTTTCTGAGTAAAAATATTGATGCTAGATCACAGTATTAATGCTATTACTTCTTATGCTTGCTCTCATTTTCTTTTATATGCAGTCATGCATGACTTGCGCCTCATCCATACAGACTTGAAACCTGAGAACATACTTTTTGTTTCTCCAGAATACATAAAAATACCTGACTACAAGGTATGGTTGCTTATTGTCATTATGCTCTTAATTAGTGTGAAATAATAGCAGTGCAATCTTCTGGCTTTGCAATTCAGTTTTTTTTCTTTTGGGGAGTTTTGTGCATCTTTCCTGTTAATTTCAATGTTTGAGTTTTTAACTTCTTATTTTTTTTTTGCAGCTTACGTCTCGGTCAATAACAGAGGGAACCTATTACAAGAGGTTGCCAAAGTCAGGTGCTATTAAGGTTATTGATTTTGGCAGCACAGCATATGAGCATCAAGATCACAATTATATTGTCTCTACCAGGCACTACCGTGCACCCGAGGTTATTCTTGGTATGCTTTTGCTTTTTGCCCCATATTAATTCTTGACATAACATTTCTGGAATTAAGGTTATTTGATTTCAGGACTTGGATGGAGTTATCCATGTGACATATGGAGTGTTGGTTGTATCTTGGTGGAATTGTGCTCGGTATGTTAACTCTCAAAAGTATACTGTTGGCGAATGCATAAGATGGTATGAAGGTGATGGAATGTCAATGAAATTCTTTTTCTTATACCAGGGAAAAAATATTTTTTTTATTTGCAGGGAGAAGCTTTGTTTCAGACACATGAAAACTTAGAGCACTTGGCCATGATGGAAAGGGTTTTAGGCCCATTACCCCAGCACATGTTAAAAAGAGTTGGGTGTGTGCCCTTTAAGGGTTTCTTATTTTTTATCCATTCTTTTATCTGTTCATCTATTTTTAGAATTGTTTATTGTTTGTTACTGGTTCAGCAAACATGCTGAGAAGTATGTGAGAAGAGGTAGATTGGACTGGCCAGAGGGGGCAACATCTCGGGAAAGCATTAAAGCTGTCCTAAAGTTACCTCGTCTCCAGGTGTGTATAAAACCTTATTATATTTTAGCCTTTGGTTTTGGGGGCATGTTTAGTGATTTGTTAATTATAGTTATATCATTCTTATACTCATTTCATTTTTATTACCTCACAATGAAAAAAGAATTGTCATTAGTGTGTTTTTAATTTGTATTTTTTTGTAGAACATAGTAATGCAGCATGTAGATCACTCAGCTGGATACCTAATAGATCTCTTGCAAGGGCTTCTTAGGTATGATCCTTCCAACAGACTAACTGCTCGTGAAGCCCTCAAGCACCCTTTCCTTACAGGAGATTATTACCGGAGATTTTAAGTAAATTTTGTTTGTCATTTTCTCATCATTCTGGCGCTGCTTAATGATTTCTAAAGTGAGATGTGGGTGTGGGTTTATGAAGAATCTGAACTAGTGTCGATCCTTAGTGAAGGCTTATAGGGCGGCCAGGTTCCTGGTCTTCAAGAAATGTTTTGTTGTTCATCTTTTGTAAATAATAAAATTGTCAGGATAAGCTTTCTCCTTGTCCAGTTTTTGTGCTATGATAAGTGTTGTACCGCTTTTCCCATTTTTGTGTCAAAAACTTAGCATTTGTTTGCCAGGGCTTTGTTTTCCTTAGGAAAGAATTCTGTTTTGGTAGATTATGGTGAACACTAGACATTTACTTTATGCCCTTTCATGAGTTATATGCTTAACACATGCTCCAAACAATCTGGACCTCAAACAAAAGCTGTAGAAAGTTTCCATTTCTAAGATTTTAGATAAACATTTTGGAAGGAGCATCTCATATAAGTACAAAAAGAAATACAAACTTGTGCTGAAGGACAAGAAAGACAAATAAATTTTTAGTTTATATAGGTAAAAGAAATAAGTGTAGAACAAGTAAATGATTTTCTAATTCCAAAAATGGTTCAAACTACTGGTGCCTTTGACTTATTTTATGACTCTGATAGGAGGACCAGTAAGTAACCATAATATGATTTTGACTTTGAGGAGCACAAGGGTGATAAAAAGAGTTGTGACGGTGGAGTGGATTGATTACTTGGTCACAACTTCAATTAAGATCTGTGTAAAGGTGAAGCGTCGAACATTAGCTCAGTGCAGGAGGCAAGTAATCCTTTATTTGGTGATTCCCTTTTTCGACTGCTCTATTAATCTATTCTAATATCTACTGGGTTTCCGTTGATGATATTCTTCATACCACCCAATTAGATTCTTGTAGGTAGAATCGATTTGGTCTATATGATTATGTTATGCCCCAAATAATCGGGTTCAATCAACTTACCCTTTCTGGCACCCCATCGTTGTACTTGTACAATGCCACAATAGATCCTTGAAAAAGCATTCCCCTAATACAAACCATTTTTTTAACTTCCAGGCCAATTCATCTTTCTTTTGCACATGTTAACGGAAACCAGACATCAATCATCAATTTGAATGTTACTTCATCGGGATTTGATCCTCTAGTTTGCATTTCCTAGTATTGATGCATGGCCTCACTTACTCTAGAAGATTTGCTGAGCTCATTTATGAAGGCATTGTATGAAAGCACGCAAGGGATGATTTCCTTCTCTAATCTCTATCAATAAAAACACAATGAGCCATCCCAATTTTCCCATTCTTGCAAAAGCAATTAATAATCCCATCGTCCCATCTACAAGCTAAATTTAACACGAGAATAGAAGCTGAAGAAAGGTTTGTTTTTTTTTAAGATTGTGAATGAAACATGGTGCATCGGAACATCTACTCTCAAAAGACTGATAAATTAATTCTGAATTCATACACGTATGAGTGTAAAACAAGTAAAGAATTTGTAATTCCAAAATAGTATCCTTCTCAACGTTTAGTTTTGCATTTGACAGCTCTTAAGACTCCACCAGGAGGATCAGTCACCTCAATTGCGCAATGTCCATACAGTCTATACGAGTAGCGCAGGAAACTTCCCAGATTCGATCGTGCCCGAAACACTCCCTTAACTTGAAATTCAATTTTATTTCTCTCTATTTCTCTCTTAAGCCGTTCGGTTTCATCCGAGGTCAGCTGAACCTGACTCGCTACCATATGAACATTGGCAAGCCTTATCTGACGCCTTTCTGCTCTGAAAGGTTCAATATATTGAGACGCAATCAGGGTGTTTCCATAGTAAAGATCAAGGACTACGTAACTGAAGTCCACCCTTACTTTCCTGTTAGGATTTATGAACTTAGCGAGCACAGTGAGATCAGCATTGAGCAAAACGTCCACGTCTAGATATGCTGCATTTAAGGTGACACTGGACACTTCGAAACTTGGGCTATGTGGGCGAAACACAAGATAGACTATTAAGACAATTAAGCCTCCTAGAATAATGACAAGCCAAAAGATTGCACAAAAGCCTGCAAGAAACCATGTGTGTAGTTTGGTTCGACGAGGTGCTAGACCGAAATAAGAGCGTTGGTGTGCTTGTTGCTCCTGTGGACTTTGTTGGCGCCTGTGCCGTTGATGCTTTGGTGGTTGTGTAGCCTGTGAACCAGTATGTCGGGGTGGAGAGTGTGGTGCAAGTTCCTGCGCCTGTGAATGGGTTGATTGTGTCTTTGGTGCACTACCATCAGTACCCTGTGGTACCAATGCCCCCCATTGACCCAGTGGTTCAGCCTTTGGTGGCGGGATTGTTGGTCGTTGAGTTGGTGGCCAGATCCATGGGGTGGTTGGATGAATTTGGTCTTGACTCTGTGGCGGTGTCATCCCTGATGGTTCGGCTTGTGGGTGTGGCTCTTGATGTTGTGGTGACTCATGCTGTGGTGTTGGTGTTGGTGCTGGCAACTGAGAATGTTGTTGCGAGTAAAAATAAGGGTTGGTTTCAGGGTGGTGACGCATGGTGATAAATTGCCAAATGAAATGTAATGTAAGGGACGATGATTATGAGGAGCGCAAAGGTGATAAAAAGAGGAGATGTGGCAGTGGAGTGGAAAAGAGGATTACTTCGTCACAACTTCAAGTAGGATTCATGTAAAGGCAAAGAATCAAACATTAGCTGAGTAAAGGAGGCAAGTAATCTTAAGTTGCTAATCCCCTTTTTCGACTGCTCTATTATTTATGCTAGTGGGGTTCCATTCATCCTCATTACCCTAGAGCCAAATTGTTATCCATTTACGTTACCATAATAAGTCATTTACTAATTACACGTTAAATTCTAAAATTATATATAGTCCCTAAATATGCAGAAGCATGTTAAATTAGAAACTTACAGCTACAGGGTCAAAGGCTCAAAGCCAATACGTGGAAAAAGGAAATGACATTTGCCAAACCTATTTTCCCGCTAAAATTTATAAATATTATTGATTAAATAAATAAACAGCAGCTTTGAAGAGTACTATTTTCTTCAATGAAGCTAACAATTTAAACTTACGATAATATTAACTAACAATCAATTTGATTGTTTCTAGTCAACCGGGGATTTAAAAGGACAAAATACGACTCCTAGTAGCAGCATCAGCACACAAATACAAGACCCATGATGTGAAACAAGCAAGCAATTTTGCAGAGTGGACTGACAACTGTTGTTAAAAATTTTCTTAAGGCAATGGGAAATTAAGTCCAGCTCAAAAGCAGTTTCCTGATTCCTCGCATCACCTTCGCTAAATAGTTTACTTGTATCCCCAACTCTCAGGGTTTGGTATCATCTTCCATATTAAAGCACTAAAACAGGGCAGCTAACCGAATTTCAAACAATTTGATGAGACCTTTGATCCATTCCTTTAATCATCAATTTGAATGTTACTTCATCGGAATTTGATCATCTAGTTTGCATTTTCTAGCATTGATGCATAGCCAGAGTTACTCTAGAAGATTTGCTGAGCTCGTTTATAAAGGCATTGTATGAAACCACTTAAGGGATGATTTCCTTTTCAATCATATTCATATTAATAAAAACTCAATGAGCCGTGTTAGAATATTCTATAATTAAGAGATTGATATGATCAAAATTGATAGAATATCCTATAATTAAGAGATTGATATGGTCAATATTCTTAATTATAGAATATTATTTCTTTCATAATTATAGGATATTTTCTGTAATATTCTGTAATTAATTCCTTTATTCTTTCCTTGTAAATGTTCTTGTATCTAGCCTATATATTGTAAAATTACAATGAATGAAATTATCAAAAAATTACTCCACAATTGTGTTTATTGAAATGGTATCAGAGCCCTCTTCAATCTCCTCTTCTTTAATCTAGGAATTGAAGCCCGGTCACAATTGTTGTTTCTGTTCATATCATTCTACTATGAAGTTTTTTTTTTTTTTTTTTTTTTTTTTTTTAATCTTTGCCGCTATGGGTGATTTAGAAGAAAGTAGTAATAATTCTCTAAAGAAGAATAAATCTACAACTGTATCGGCTGGATTCCATGGCAAGAAACTTATTCTCTAATCACTCCGAAATGACTTGCTGGTACCAATTATGTAGAGTGGTCTTTGAACGCTCAAAATAAGATCTGTGGGAGGAAACGTTGGTGTTTTATTTCTGGTAATAAGGCTGCACCAAAAGATGTTCGTTCGAAGGAATATGAAGCATGGGAAGATGAAAACTACTTGGTCAAATCTTGGCTCCTTGACACAATGACAAAGGACGTCACATCTCTCATCCTTCGTTAGCTACAGCGAAGGGAATATGGGAGGTTGCCAAACGGACATATTCGGTTGACCAGGATGCATCAAAAGTCTATCAACTACACTATGAGGTAATTTCTGTTCGCCAAAAGGAAGTTTTCGTTATTTCTTATTTTGGCAAACTACAAAAAATATGACAGAAACTTGATGATATTGATGACTATACTAAGGAGTGTACAAATGAGATTGTGAAATATACCACTAAGGTTAATTCCCAACGTGCGTATATGTTTTTGGCTGGTCTTGACCCTCAATTACATGGGGTTTAAGGTCACGTGCTTGCTACCAAACCACTTCCAGATTTACAAGTTGTATTATGCTATGGTTTCTGCGGAAGCTAATCACCAAGATGCTATGCTTGGAGGGAAAATTGGAGAAGGGGTTGTAATGGCCTCTCGAAAAATGCCTACTTCAAAGAAGGATCGGAAGTGTACTCACTGTAATGGTACTTGTCATACAGTGGATACATGCTTTTGAATCCATGGATATCCGGATTGGCATCCGAAGGGCAAGAAAGCATCTTAGATATCTTCTAGTGCTAATGAGGAAGACATTAATCCGAAGGGGAATCTAGCCACAATTCCTGGATTTACTACTAAGTTAGGTATGTCTTTTACTAGAAATAGTGATTGGATAATTGACTATGGTCCAATAGACCATATGACTTGTGATCGTTATATTCCAAAACTATCGTTACCAATGCTAATGGAGTATCATCTTCAGTTATTGGAGTTTGTACAGTCCCGTTATCCCCCACCTTAGCTATCAAAGATGTCTTATTTGTGCCATCATTAAATTGTAATATTCCCTCTGTTAATCAATTAACCAAATCTTATAATTGTATTACTATATTTTTTCCCACTCACTGTGTTTTTTAGGACATCCATACCAAGGAGAAAACTGGCAGTGGTAGACAAAATGGAGGATTGTACTATCTGGAGGAAGGGTTCCAACATTCCAACAAAGAAGGACAAACTCACTTGCTAAAGGAAGATTTGATGAATCAGAAAAATAAGGAAATTTGGTTACAACATAAGAGACTAGGACATCCCTCTTTTAGCTATCTTAGGAGATTATTTCACTCTTTGTTTAGTGGATGTTATTTTTCGGATTTTAGTTGTGAAACTTGTGTAATGACAAAAAGTCATCGTACTATTTTCCATTTAAGTGATAATAGAGCAAATCTACCTTTTTCATTAATTCATTCGGATGTTTGGGGACTGGCACCAATTTCTATTCTTAATGGGATAAGGTGGTTTGTAACTTTTGTTTATGATTGCACTCAAATGACTTGGGTTTATCAATTGAAGCATAAGAGTGATGCTTACTCAGTTTTTCGCTTGTTTCATCAAATGGTAACTACTCAGTTTGGTATTCCAATAAAAGTCCTTCGTTTTGATAAAGGGGGAGAATACTTCAAGCAATAATTGATAGAATTCATGCACTCAATAAGGATTATTGTCCAAACAACATGTCCTTATTCTCCTAAACAAAATGGTGTTGCAAAGTGGAAAAACAGATAGTTATTAAAAGTTACTCGATCTCTCTTAATTGGAGGTCATGCCCTCTCACTTGTGGGGTGACGCCTTAAATTCAGTGGTCTACTTAATAAACCGTACACCATCTAGTGTTCTCAATTTTAGAAGACCAATGGATGATTTCTCTGATCATTGCACTCTTCCACAGGTGGTACTTTTGGCTCCTCAAATTTTTGGATGTGTGGTCTATGTCCATTTGCATCCACATCAATGGACTAAGCTTGAGTCTTGTGCAGTGAAGTGTGTTTTTTTGTGGGATATGGGATTAGTCAAAAGGGCTACAAGTGTTATCATCCATCTTCTTAGAGATTTTATGTTTCTATGGATGTTATTTTTCATGAGAATGAACTTTTCTATAAGACACCGATGACTGATTTACCACTTCAGGGGGAGAATCAAGATGAAGTGATTAATCATGAAGAACTACATGCGCTCTTTCTCAAAGATTTAGATAAAAGAAATAGAACATCTAGAGATGCTATGGAAAATAATTCTTTATTTCGGATCTTTCCCAAACAACCAAAAGAACTGAAAGAAGAAAATCGAGTGATCGAGGAATTTACGGATGAAGACTCTGTCTCGGATTTGTTCCAGACAATTGGAAGTGATACCATCGATCGACCTAATGAAGGGGAAAGGTTCCCAGTTGTTGAACAAATGGCTCTAAGCTTCGAAGATGATTCCTCCGTGATAGTACAATGTCTCATAACAATCCAATACAACCATTGGGTCAATCTTCTCCTAAGACTCATTCAAAGGTACCCACTAATCCTAATTCTACGATTGTTGATGATGTTAATTTTGAATCTCAATTGTCTCAATATTGTCTTCTAGCTCGTTCTAACCATGGTATACCACCCATTAAAAATCCTATAAGTGATCACGTATCTTCGAAAAAATTGTCTAAGTCATCTGCGTCTTATGTGCTATAGTTATCGTCTATCTCTATTCCTAGTAAAACGCAAGAAGCTTTGACAGATGCTAGATGGACCCAAACCATGGCTGAAGAAATGGTAGCACTTGTAAAAAATGCTACTTAGGAACTTGTGCCTGTACTGAAGAGAAAGAAGACCGTGGAGTGTAGATGGGTATTTGTGGTCAAGCATAAGGCAGATGTGACCATTGAAAAGTATAAAGCTCAGTTGGTTGCAAAAGTGTATACGCAGTTTTATGGGATTGACTATCAAGATACTTTTGCACCAGTTGCCAAGCTTAACATAGTTAGAGTGCTCCTGTCGTTTGCAATTAACCGGGATTGGCCACTTCTTCAATTTGATGTAAAAAATGCTTTCTTGCATGGAGATCTTACAGAAGAAGTGTATATGGTTCTTCCTCTAGGTATGGAGAAGTACTCTAATGTAACAAAAGTGTGCAAACTCAAGAAGACATTGTATGGTTTAAAACAATCTCCAAGAGCTTGGTTCGACAGATTCACCAAGTCTATGAAGAACTTCGACTATAAACAAAGCAACTCAAATCACACTTTGTTTTTAAAGCACCAAAAGGGTATAATTATTGCTTTGATTATCTATGTTGATGATATGGTGGCGACAGGTGATGATCAAGATGAAATCGAAAACTTACAATGACACTTGGCCTCAGAATTTGAAATGAAACAGCTTGGTGACCTGAAGTACTTTCTTGGGATTGAGGTAGCCAGATCAAAAAATGGTATTTTTTTTTTTTTTTTATCTCAACTAAAATACATTCTTGATTTGTTAACTGAGTCAAGTATGCTTGGATGTAAGCCTGCGAGTACTCCTATTGAACAAAATCATAAGTTGTTTCATTGTTGGATACAACTTCTACTGATAAGGCAAGATACCATAGACTTGTGGGAAAATTGATTTATTATTCAGTATGTGTAGTGAGCCAATTTATGCATGATCCTCGTAAACCTCACATGGATGTCGTGGAACGTATATTGAGGTATTTGAACTCTACTCTAGGTAAAGCTTTTCACTAAGCACAATCATCTGAAGGTAAAAGGTTACATTGATGTAGATTGTGCTGGTTCAACTGATAAAAGAAGATCTATTTCAGGATACTTTACTTTTGTATGGGGAAACCTTGTTACTTGGAAGAGTAAAAAGCAACTGGTAGTAGCAAGGTCAAGTGTAGAAGCTGAGTACAAAGGCATGGCTTTAGGAGTGTGTGAGCTATTATGGTTGAGGAACTTGCTAAGAGATTTGGGGATTGACTCTCTAGATGCAATGAAGTTGTATTGTGATAACACTTCAGCTATAGAGATGACCCACAATCCAGTTCAACACGATCAAACAAAGCATGTAGAAATTGGTAGACACTTCATTAAGGAAAAACTAGAAGCTACTATATTTCTTTTTGTGAAGTCTAAAGATCAATTAGCCGACATTCTTACCAAAGTCGTAGCCAATAATGCGTTTGATGGCGTTTTAGACAAGTTAGGCATGTGTGATATTCATGCTCTAATTTGAGAGAGAGTGTTAGAATATTCCATAATTAAGAGATTAATATGGTTAATATTGTTAGAATATTTTATAATTAAGAGATTGATATGGTCAATATTCTTAATTATAAGATATTATTTCTTTCACAATTATATGATATTTTTTCCTTGTAAATATTATTCCTTCCTTGTAAATGTTTTTGTTCCTAGCTTATACTGTATATTGTAAAATTACAATCAATGAAATTATCAGAAAATTATTCCACAATTGTTTATTGACAAGCCATCCCAATTTTCCCATTCTTGCAAAAGCAATTAATAATCCCATCATCTCATCTACAAGCAAAATTTACACGAGAATAGAAGTTGAAGAAAGGTTTGTTTTTTTAAGATTGTGAATGAAACATGGTGCATCGGAACATCTACTCTCAAAAGACTGATAAATTAATTCTGAATTCATACTCGTACGAATGTAAAACAAGTAAAGAATGGGTAATTTCAAAAAAGTATCCTTCTCAACGTTTAGGTTTGCATTTGACAGCTTTTAAGACTCCACCAGGAGGATTAGTCACCACAATTGTGCAAAGTCTATACAGTCTATAAGAGTAGCGCAGGAAACTTCCCAAATTCGATCGTGCCCGGAACACTCCCTTAACTTGAAATGCAGTATGATTTCTCTCTATTTCTCTCTTAAGCCGTTCGGTTTCATCCGAGGGAAGCTGAACCTGACTCGCTACCATATGAACACTGGCAAGACTTGTCTGACGCCTTTCTGCTCTGAAATGTTCAACATATTGAGACGCAATCAGGGTGTTTCCATAGTAAAGATCAAGGACTACGTAATTGAAGTCCACCCTTACTTTCTTGTTAGGATTTATGAACTTAGCGAGCACAGTGAGATCGGCATTGAGCAAAACGTCCACGTCTAGATATGCTGCATTTAAGGTGACACTAGACAATTCAAAACTTGGGCTATGTGGGCGAAACACAAGATAGACTATTAGGACAATTAAGCCTCCTAGAATAATGATTAGCCAAAAGATTGCACAAAAGCCTGCAAGAAACCATGTGTGTAGTTTGGTTCGACGAGGTGCTAGACGGAAAATCGGGCGTTGGTATGCTTGTCGCACCAGTGGACTTTGTTGGCGCCCGTGCCGTTGATGCTTTGGTGGTTGTGCAGCCTGTGCACCAGTATATTGGGGTGGAAACCGTGGTGCAGGTTCCTGCGCCTGTAAACGGGTTGATTGTGTCTTTGGTGCACTACCATGTGGAACCAATGCCCCCCATTGACCCATTGGTTCCACCTTTGGTGGTGGGATTGTTGGTCGTTGAGTTGGTGGCCAGATCCATGGGGTGGTTGGATGAATTTGGTCTTGACTCTGTGGCGGTTTCATCCCTGATGGTTGGGTTTGTGGGTGTGGCTCTTGATGTTGTGGTGACTCATGCTGTGGTGTTGGTGTTGGTGTTGGCAACTGAGAATGTTGTTCCGAGTAAAAATAAGGGTTGGTTTCAGGGTGGTGACGCATGGTGATAAATTGCCAAATGAAATGTAATGTAAGGGACGATGATTATGAGGAGCACGAAGGTGATGAAAAGAGGAGTTGTGGCGGTGGAGTGGAAAAGACGATTACTTCGTCACAACTTCAAGTAGGATTCATGTAAAGGCAAAGAATCAAAGTTAGCTGAGTAAAGGAGGCAAGTAATCTTCAGTTGCTAATTCCCCTTTTTCGACTGCTTGCTAGTTGCTAGTGGATCCAAATAATCCTCATTACCCTATTAGATGCTTGTAATTAAGCTATAGCCAAATTGTTATCCATTTACGTTACCATAATAAGTCATTTACTAATTACACGTTAAATTCTAAAATTATATATAATCCCTAAATAAGCAGAAGCATGTTAAATTATACTATAGGTGGAAAAAGGAATGACATTTGCCAAACCTATTTTCCCGCTAAAATTTATAAATATTATTGATTAAATAAATAAACAGCAGCTTTGAAGAGTATTATTTTCTTCAATGAAGCTAGCAATTTAAACTCACAATAATATTAACTAACAATCAGTTTGATTGTTTCTAGTCAACCGGGGATTTAAAAGGACAAAAGACGAGTCCTAGTAGCAGCATCAGTACACAAACACAAAGACCCATGATGTGAAACAAGCAAGCAGGCAATTTTTGCAGAGTACACTGACAACTGTTGTTAAAATTCTCTTAAGGCAATTGGAAATTAAGTCCAGCTCAAAAGCAATTTCCTGATTCCTCGCATCACCTTCGCTAAATATTTTACTTGTATCCCCAAATCTCAGGGTTTGGTATCATCTTCCATATTAAAGTGCTAAAACAGGGCAGCTAACCAAATTTCAAACAATTTGATGAGACCTTTGATCCATTCATTCAATCTGCCCAGAATAGTTGAAAATGCTGCAGATGGTTGTGATCATTCAATCTGCTAGCCTATGATAGACATCTGTATTCAAAATCTGCCATCCTTGAATACTATATATGATTCCAAAACACAAGTACACATGCATTGGACATCGGAGGAAAAAGGAAATAGAAGGAGAGGCATACCTCTGTTTCTGGATTTCAAGGTTTCAAACATAAGCATCCCCTTCCACTTCTGTTTAAAAATTAGGTCGTGTGTCCTGGAGAAGCCCAGATAAGATGCAGATTCAAGCTGAAGCGGGAAAAGAAATGGAGGAGGGGTTCATATGAAAGAATATGTCAAATTCTATTAGCAATTAGAAAGGAAAAAATTAAAATAAGAAAGCAAATACTGAAAAGGTTTATAGAACCAGCGCAATCCCCCCCCCACCCCCCAAAAAAAAAAAACTATGAGACAGTTAAAAAGGCATATATTTGTACGCATGACATCCATTATATCTTCTTCTTTTTTTTTATCTACCAACACCTAGATACCAATAAAATACTAGCATTATAGTATAAGAGATCTAGAACCTCAAACCTGAATGCCCCGCTTTTCAGAATCTGCCACGGCAACATAAGATAATGCAGACCAAAAATATCAGTAGCTTTGCAGTAGAGGACAGAGAACATAACATTAACACCATAAACTTCAACCTGAAATACAGAAACCTATATTATAACATTACAATGAGGCATGAAGTATCTAGGCAGCTCAGTTGTTCAAATATTAGCACCGCAAACAGTCAACGCCAATATGAATTCTAAACCATCATCCCCCATTACATGTGCGAATTGAAACATTTGTACAGCATCAAGACACCAATTAAGTGACTTTTACTTAAAAACAGAGGGTCAGGGCTCAGCATATTTAAAAATAGTAGATAAATCACCAGCTATATAAGTGCATAAAACAGTAACAGAAACAACAAATTAATCCTGGCTGTCCTAAAGAAAGTATAAAGAGTACAAGCATCAAAAAATGCAATGCTGAAAACCACAAATATTACTGGTGGCATCAACGCTTCTTGAAATCTCAGTTTAAAAGAACAATATATTGGACTTCCTAGCACTGCAAAATATGCTACATCATTGCACCAATGTCAACAGTTATGCCCAATAGATCATTCAATAAACTTTCTAGCCAATCCATTATTATTTTGCACATGTTAATAGAAATGAGAGGATTTCATAATAGTGGAAATAGAACACCGCTATTAGCATTGGTATTGGATAACTGGAGGTGCTACAGCCTGTAGAAACGGGATAGCCCCATTACCAGTGGGGTAAATAAAGCAATTCAAAACTGCCTGTTGAGCAAAACATTCAAGAAGAAAATTTTAACCACCAAATAAAATCAACATCAAACACATGACAGAGTATAGTGGGTGAATTACCATTTCTCAATGTTGTGCAACATCTCCTGAATGGATAGCTTTGATTAGAGTATCTGAAACTGCATTATCAAGAGTAAAACCCTTCTCCATCATCTGATCCCACAAACTACAAGCTATTTCAAGCTTCTTCTCTCGAATGAGCCCACCAATAATCAATTTGAATGTTACTTCATCAGGATGTGATCCTCTGGTCTGCATTTCCTCGTAGAGATGCATGGCTTCACTTACTCTAGAAGATTTGCAGAGTCCATTAATGAGGGCATTGTATGAAACCACATCAGGGGTGATTCCCTGCTCTATCATGTCCAGAAAAACACCATGAGCCATCTCAATTTTCCCACTCTTGCATAGGTAATCAACAATTGTAGTGTAAAATATACGATCCGGCAACAAACCCATTCCCATCATCTGATCTAGAAGCTTCTTAGCTAAATCAGAACTACCTGCTCTAAGAAACGCTTTTATTAGAATAGTATAAGTAACTACATCTGGTGCAATCGCCTTCTGTTTCATTTCCTCAAACAGTTTATAAGCTCTTCTAGTACGACTTTCCTTGCAAAATGCTTTGATAATAGTATTGTATGATACAACATCACATAACCCTTTTGCCTCCATCTTACTCAACATTAACAAATAAGCTTTATCTGGTCTGCTAGCTTTACAAAGGCCCTTAAGAAGTTGATTGTAACTATATGCATCAGGTTCTATCCCACTCTTCTCCATCTTCTTCATCAGCTTCTCGGCCTCTCCCACCATGACCTCATCACAGTAATAATTCAACAACACATTATAAGTAACCAAATCTAGCTCACATCCATTTCTCGTCATAAACCTCTTTATTGCACTAGCCTTATCAATCCTACCAACCCTACAAAAGCCACTAATCAACGTGTTATAAATTAACAAGCCAAACTCAACGTTTCCCTTCATTGAACCTACTGTTAACTCATAAGCTAAATCAATTTTCCCACCGTCACACAACCCAATAACAAGCGCTGTACAAGCTTTTAAATCTGGTTTTATCCCTTTTTCAATCATCTGTTTCCAAGCTTGAACAGCTCTATCAAACTCCTTTGCTTTGCACAACCCATCAACGATAATTGTATATGTAACAACATCAGGCTCCCTTCCTTTATTAACTATTTTATCAAACTCTTCCAAAGCTAACTCAATCCGGTTCTCAGAAAACAAAAGACTCAAATAAATGTTAAAGGCCCAAATATCAGGCACAAGACCAAGCCTATCCATGTTATTTAAAAGAATGTGAATTAAACCAAAATTCTTGACTTTACATAAACCTGAAATAAACCTAGAATAAGTGAAGGGTGTTAAAGAGAAGCCTAGAGGGCCCATTTGTTGGTAATAATGTTGGGCAAGTTCAAAACGGGAATGGCGAACTAAAACACCGATGAAACGATTGTAATCAATGCTGAAAGCGCGACAATTTGATTGAGTCATTTCGTCGAACACGTGGACAGCTTGATCGATGAGGCCAGCTTTCACAAACTTTGAGATTTGGGCACGGTATATCAGGCGTTGGGCGCCCAGTTTGTGAAACATATCAGGGTGAAATGCATAATAATGAGTGGAAATGGTGGCACGGGAAGTCAATGCATTGACAGTTACAGCATCAGAGCCATTGATAGAGGACTGAAACTACAAATGAAGAAAGTGTATTTATATAGAAAATGAGAGAAAGGTAATGCCGAAATGGTGATACGGCTTTTTGGTTTCCGCGTGCGGTTTGCCTACAAGTTAAATAAAGAGAGCGAGACTGGCGAGTGAGAGCGAGGCAGGAAGGTGGCGTCCTGGAGATGTATTTGCACTTTGAAGGCCCAGAAATTCAAATTTGTCCGCTCTAAATGGGCTGTGACACCTAATGGGCTTTAAACAATGAATATTTCTTTCAGAAGAACATCCGATGTCAAATCGATCATTTACTTAAAGCTTAATAAATATAAAAAATGTCACTCGAACAGTCAACACGCAACCTTGTTTCATAATAAGTTAAAAGTTTGGAGGACGAACATTCCAAATCTTTTGTTGTGTTGTGACTTTCCACACGATCTAGTCTCTAGTAGGTCTTTAAAAACAAATTTAACCATGTAATAGATGTATTTATTGCGACACTTAATCGAATAGTTAGACTTAGACATGTGGATTATTCTCATAAGGTTAAAAATCCATGCACCGCATCAAAGGTCATTAATATTTCTCACTTCCAAAAACTATTACACAGTATTTCGCTCCCACAGATTGGCAAACTCGAGCTTGCTAATGGGCACTTGCATTGCATGGCCAAAAGAAATGTAGTGAATTAATATAATAATAGACGTTGGCATTTAATTCTTAGAAGATGAAGTGGTATTGGTCCAAAGTAGCATAGCATACTAACGACGGCTTCGTGGACTTTCTTCTAAAGACTTTAAACAATTTGTAACGGAGATTGATTAAGTTCCGCCCAATTTTATTGACTATAATATGCCTTGGACTTAAATACAGACTGAATAAATTTTACCGATAAAATCCTTTAGTTGCACCTAATTTCAGAAT